CAGCTTGAAAAAGAACACAATCAGTTGGGATCTCAGTGGCTGGTCCCTTCATTGCAAACCAAATTAGACGCCTTTTATCTCCACTATTGTTTCAGTTAATTGGGCAAACAAAGAGAGCTATTAGTAATCAGCTGTCAATTAGGGAGCTGATGGGGGTGAGTTCAATGGTGACTGCGCTGTCAGCTGGGATCTGCTGGGGGTGGGTTCAATGGTCATTGTGTTGTCAGTTGGAATCTGCTGGGGGTGGGTTCAATGGTGACTGTGCTGTCAGTTGGAATCTGCTTGGGGTGGGTTCAATGGTGACTGTTCTGTGAATTGGCATCTGCTGGGGGTAGGTTCAGTGGTGACTGTACTGTCAGATGGGATCTGTTAGGGGTGGGTTCAATGGTCACTGTGCTGTCAGTTGGGATCTGCTCTGGGTGGGTTCAGTGGTAACTGTGCTGGCAGTTGGGATCTGCTGGTGGGTTCAATGGTGACTGTTTTGTCAATTGGGATCTGCTGGGGGTGGGTTCAATGGTTACTGTGCTGGCAGTTGGGATCTGTTGGAGGTGGGTTCAATGGTGACTATGCTGACAGTTTGGATCTGCTGGATGTGGGTTCAATGGTGACTGCGCTGGCAGTTGGGATCTGCTGGAGGTGGGTTCAATGGTGACTATGCTGGCAGTTTGGATCTGCTGGATGTGGGTTCAATGGTGACTGTGCTGGCAGTTGGGATCTGCTGGAGGTGGGTTCAATGGTGACTATGCTGGCAGTTTGGATCTGCTGAGGGTGGGTTCACTGGTGACTGTTCTGTAGGTTGGGATCTGCTGGAGGTGGGTTCAATGGTTACAGTTCTGTCACTTGGAATCTGCTTGGGTGGATTCAGTGGTCACTATGCTGTCCATTTGGAGCTGCTAGGGTGTGTTCAGTGGGCACTGTGCTATTAATTGGAACCTGTTGGGGTGGTTTAGAGGTCACTGTGCTTTCACTTGGGAACTGCTGAGGGTGGGTTAAGCAGTCACATTGCTGTAAATTATGATCTGCTGGCGGTGGGTTCGTTAGTCACTGTGCTGTTAATTGGGAGCTGCAGGGACGGATCAGTGGTCACTTTGCTGTCCATGGGAGCTGCTGGGGTGAATTAGTGGTCACTGTGCTGTCAATTGTGAGCTGCTGAAGTGGATTAGTGGTCACTATGCTGTCAATTAGGAGCTGCTATGGCAGGTTCAGTGGTCACTGTGCCCATCAGATCAATGGATCTCCCACACAAGTACATTGCAGTGCAGTGTCTGCTCCTGTCTTATCTGAGATCTAGACTGCTGTCACAGGCTCATCTCTGTCGCCCTTCCTATTTCATCATGATCTCTTGATTATTTACTCATGTATATTAAATCCACTTTACTGACCAGCATTCGGCATAGTCCCTCGGGGGATAACCTCTAACCAGCCCATGCATTCACTCCATTTTTTTTTTTTTTTTGTGCTCCTACATTGTAGTCATCGCCATTCTTTTCCTGGCTCTTTTCTAGGCAGATCAGCAGATACTCTGTAATTGAAGAGCATCCTAGGATCAGAGAATGTATTTTATCAGTAAGATTAATAATGCAATTCATTGTGTCAAAATTGTATATATTTTTGTATCATAATTGTATAAGGAGCCGTTGGTCTATCGTTATCAGGAATCCTTAGGTAAACAATCAGAGAGATGGCCTGAAGGCACACTGAAGACTGACAGGCTGCAAACTCTTTGGGATTTTAAAGGGATCTGAGCTACAAGAGCATTAGTGAGTCACAAAGCTCATCTGACTCAGGTCAATTAGTACTGTCACAAATACATACAGCACCCTGACACAGGACAGCTACGATATATGGTCACTGATCTGCAGATCATCGCCACCACAACACACCTGATGGTATCTGCCGATCACTGATCTGTCAGGAGGACAATGCATGATCTGAGTGTCCTTAATTGGTCAGGAGAATACATTCACTGGGCAGAACTTTCAATGATTGATGCAAATATTTGTGACAGGTCATGCTGGGACTTGTGGTGCTCTACATTGTGCCCTGGATCAGCCCTGCAGTCCTCCTGTAATGCTTCATTTCCTGGCTTTTTATTTGGCCTGTGACGTCACTATTCCTGGCGTCGGTCAGGCTGGCCAGCACAGGGCAATGCATAGCATCAAAGCGTATGAAGAGCCTAGGACAATGCAGGCCGATCACACTGGGATCGCTCCGATCTGCTTCTTCTATGCTGGGCTATGGGGATCAGCTTTATTGGATCACTTTTTATTGGTGCCACTCCATCATACATGGGAATCCATTATCCAGCCTGTATGAAGATAATGTTGTAGAATATAATGGGGAGCTGGCAGCTCTTTATCATTCATGTGTTTAAATCCCTGAGCGATGTGTTGTGTTTGCTGCATCGTATAATACAGTCCGTGTACCAATAGCAGTCTACCGGACGGGGCCGACACGGCCTGCTGTATTGTAGGCTCAGCTATGGTGCTATGTGGTATCGCTAAACACAGCGACCCAATCACTGGTATCTATCTATCTATCTATCTATCTATCTATCTATCTATCTATCTATCTATCTATTTCCATCCATCCATCCATTCCATTTCTATCTATCTATCTATCTATCTATCTATCTATCTATCTATCTATCTAAAAAACATATTCAGAGTTTTTTATATATTTTTTTATATATATATAGATAAATAGATATATATAATATATAGGCAGCCACTGGAAACCCAGCATGGTACATTTACAATTTTTTTCTTCCTGCCCCCTGTTCTCCCCAGTAGGGTTGGGGGGGGGGGGGTTTGTTTTTGTTGTAATTTTTTCCCCAGTAGCTGATTGGATGAAGAAAATTGAATGATGCACAGTTCACAGCTCCTAGGATCCTATCATTATATATCCCTGTCGGAATATGAACGATTAGCAATATAATATCGATCTGGCAGGTTTTATTACACGGCAATCCAACTCTGCGCAAATGTTCCCAGATAAGGGTTATAAATGGGGGATTACAATCGATGGGTGTACCGGCACAACCGATTGGACAACCTGCAAAATGTTCAGCAACTTCACTCAGTGCTGCAATATTTTACATATATAATAAATGATTTTTTTTTCAATTATCTCTGTCTATCCATTTTTTTTTTTTTTTTTTTTTTTTTTTTTTTTCTTTCTTTTTTTTTTTTTTTTTTCTTTTTTTTTTTTCTTTTTTTTTTTTTTTTTATTTTTTTCTGTCTTTATATTTTTTGTTTTTATTTCTGTCAGTATATCTGATATTTTTTTTTTTTTTTTATGTATCTATAATCGATCGGTTTATCTATCTATCTATCTATCTATCTATCTATCTTTTCTATCTATCTATCTATCAAAATATCTGACATTTATATATGTATCTTTCTGGATTTAAGTAAATCTATTATGTATCTTTCTATTTTTTATATTTTATTTTTATTTGCCTTTTTTATTTATCTATTTTTTTTTTTTTTTATCTATTTTTTTTTTTTTTTATTTGTGTATCAATTTTATCTACCTATCTATTTTTCTATTTTTTTTTTATTTTTATTTGCCTGTTTATGTATCTACAATTGTTTTCTACAAACATATATATTTTTTTTTTTTTTTTTTCTGCCTATTTTTTATATTTTTTTTTTTTTTATATCTTTATTTATTTTTATTTATTATCTTATTTTTTTTTTTTTTCTCTTTTATTTATTTTTATCTGTGTATTTATGCATCTATATTCTATATCTAGCTAGCTTTTTATGAATACATCTATTTTTCTATCAATATACCCATTTTTTATTTTTTCTTTTTTCTTCAATTCTCTTGTATATTTAGTCTGTGTCTGATTTTGATGGTGACACGGACAGTCTTGTTGGCACAGGGGTCACCCAGTAGCCGTGGTTGCTGGGTCTCAGCGTGTTTCCTCTGTGTACCGCTTTTTTGCAGTGACTCAACCCAGGGGACCGAGGGCTCAGGCTGTGCAGCCAATCAGAGGTCAACCCACTGTCCCCGACCCTCACCTCCTCCCTTCCTAGTTTGGTTTTTCTTGTCTTCAGGCTCTAACTATCTGTGCTGTCCCATCCATTCAGAGTCGGTGTCACTGACACCCTCAGATACGTGCCCTGATCTCACCTGGCTCATTATATATAAACATGTACACAGAGTTCATTCCCCAGCAGTACAGGGCGGGCTGTGCTGGATTTGGAATATCAGTAACTTTTTCATTGGCCGGTCCCCGTCCTGCACAGACAGTACGATCACCCGTCCGATCAGTCCGCCCCATAGAGAAGTTTAAAGGGCCACACTCCAGTCACTGAGCTGTCAGGCACAGTAGTGGGGCGTGGCGGACGGGCTGGATTGGGCGGGGCGGGCTCTGCGTAGTGTCCTATTCCCTTTATTTTCTTCAGTGACAGGCCCCGCCCTCCACACTGATGACAGTGGAACCTCCTTAAGTTGCGTCTCGCCACAGCTGCTGTCTGCGATCATTGAGCCGCCTGGCGCCATCCTGCTCCTTTCAGAAAGAATGCCTTTTGTAAAAAAAAAAAAAAAAAAAAAAATAAGAGAGAGAGGGAGAGAAAACCCGAGATCCGATCATTTTTTGAAGTCCTCTCGTTGGATCACATAGCCCTTCCCTGCTGCTTTGTAGTCTGGGACTGGGAGCTCCTCCAGGGTGGAGGGGACACAACTTTTTCTGGGACACTCACCTTGCTCTATTGTCCCAAGGAGGGAGCCCGGCTCTCCGGAACACCTGATCCGGCCCATTCATTCTAAGGCACTGAAAACTTTTTTTTTCTTGTTGTTGCAACTTTTCCAAGAGTGCTTCTTAAGTCGCTGTTTTCTTTCCTGTTTTTTCTTTCCGAGCAGGTAGCAGACCTCTCTGGATCTGGTTTTATTTTTATTTTTTTATTGCTCTATTATTATTATTTTTCCCATTGGACTTTCTCCTGGCTGTGTGGACAAAGTGAGAAGCGATCAGAGTGCTATTGTCGGCAATGGATGTCCCAGCAGCAGAGCAGCCTCGCTGGGTCGGGAATCGCCTTCACCCTGCAGTTCTCAATGGACAGCACCATGACAGCCATCACCCGGCACTCAGCCACTCGTATGTGGAGCACTACTCCCAGTACCCCCTGTCCGAGGAGGTGGATGTACTCTTCAACATCGATGGCCAAGGCAACCATGTCCCCTCCTTCTATGGCAACTCCATGAGACCAGTCCAGAGGTACCACACGGCCACCCACCACAGTGAGTGTCACCTAATTCTATCATCATGAATAGGGGGGCTCAATCACAAAGCTTGAGGGTGGCCATACACTCTACAATCTGATTGTACAATCTTATTTACATTTTTAAAAAAACTATGTCATATTTATGAGGACAAACCACTGTAACCCAATTAACGTCTATCCAGTCCCACAGGCCTTTATATTAATATATAAAGGACATGGTACATCCAGATTGTAGAGTGTATGGTCGGCTTCAAGGTTCTTTATTTAGGCAGAGTTGGACGTGATTGGGCACATCTAAAAATAACTGTTTTTTTTTTATGCTTATTCTGGTGTATTATTAGCTTAGTGGACTGAAAGTATCTTCGTATCCTGAACTGATACCTTTAATTTGTGCTAATGACATTGATCCCAACTTTATGTAGTAAAACAGTATAGAAATAAAAAAAAATGATATTATATATATATATACTAAATAACAGTGGACAAAATTCTTATTTCTACAGTGTTTTACTGCATGAATTTCGGAGCATGGTGACTAAATATATATATTTTACCCTATATACTACTTTATATATACCCACTTTATACATGCTGTATACTTTATGCTATATTTAATTAATGCATGGTATATGCTTTATACTAACATATATATATATATATATATATATATATTATATATATATATATATATATATATATATTACTTTATGCATACTGTATACTTCATACTATATACTACTTAATGCATACTATATGCTTTTTTACTATATACTACTTTCAACATAATTATATACTACTTTTTATATACTATATACTACCTAATGCATGCTATATGCTTTATACTATATACTACTATCTACATACTATATATTTCTTTAGATATACTATATACTACTTTCTACATACTATATACTACTTTATATGTACTACTTAATGCATTCTATATATTACTATTTTTTGCCTACTATATTTATTATAATACTTTTTTGTACTTTTTTTACTTTATATATACTACTTAATGCATACTATATGCTTTACACTATATGCTACTTTAAACATGCTATATACTTTATACTGTATACTATTTTTTTATATAATATATTACTTTTATATATAATATATACTACTTTCTACATACTATATACTACTATTATATATATACTACTTAACTTAATGCATACTATATGCTGCTACCTTAAACATGCTATATACTTTATACTGTATACTTTTTTTTTTTATATAATATATAAAATTTTTATATATAATATATACTACTTTCTACATACTATATACTAAATTATATATACTATATACTACTTAATGCATACTATATGCTACTTTAAACACACTATATACTTTTTACTTACTATATACTGTACACTACTGTATACACAATATATTTTATAACTAAATACTACATTCTGTATACTATATATTTTACACTACTTTATATATACTTTGAACTATTTCATACATGCTTTTCATACTATACACTTTATACAGCTGAAATGACAATCACAATGATGTCACTTGGCAGCATGGTTGCCCTATCAGAATTGTGCGATGAGCCCCCAAGCCGAGCGATGATCCCAGCAGATGGGGATCGCTGAGCTGTACAGACTATTGTAGAATCTAGAAGTGCTTTGTGAAAACAATGTGTGATCTAGTATTTTCACACACTATTTCCGAACAGTTTCCTGCCCTGGTATGAGTGTCTAGCTATAACCACCGCCTCTTCCTCTGCTGCCTTTTCATACCAGGTAGAATGTTTTCACACTACAATAACCAATAATGGCTGATTCCAGCACTACGTCCATCGTATAGACTTCCCATGTCTCCTTTGTAGAGATCCAGTCTGTCTGCAGTGTTCCCCGATTTGTATCATTTTATCAGATTGTTCTTTCATACAGTCTATATGTGACACGTAGGGTCCCAAATACTTTTGGAGCGTAGTCATGCTCAGGATCCGATCATTTCATATAAATCATATTACTGCGGTATTGTTACAATATCATTTTTTTGTTTTGTCACTAACATTTCCTTTATAAGGGAATCAGTGTGTGGTTGGATTTGTCGATATTTTGTCCAGCCTTGTAGACATCACTACATCAAATTCCATCTATTACCAGAGTACATTAATTAGGCACATTATTAGACTTTATTTCGGTACTTTATTTATAGAGTACTTTATTTCGGTGTTTTTATGTTATTACAATCTGGAGATATAACACGTGAAAATATCACCTGTTTTTATCTATTATTGATCACCTATGAAATCCAGTGCACAGTGTATAGCCTAGAAATCGATTGATCGGTAACATCCTAAAAGTTTTCAGTGACTTGAAGTCTCACTATCTGAATGTCTTTCTTTAGGTCAAGTGTGCCACACCCCAATTCTGCACCCCTGGTTGGATCATAGCAATAAGGCCATAGGTGGAACCCATGCAGCATCTCCCTGGAACCTGCCTCCCTTCTCCAAGACCCACAGCCCCCCTGGACCCTTGGCTGTGTACCCCTCAGCGTCTTCTTCATCCCTGGTCACTGGACACTCCAGTCCCCTCTTCAACTTCCCTCCAACTCCACCTAAAGATGTCTCTCCGGACCCCTCCATATCCACCACTGGCTCAGGGGCCTCCAGTCGCCAGGAAGACAAGGAGTGTATCAAGTACCATGTGTCCACCGACTCCATGAAACTAGAGTCCTCTCACCCTAGATCCCTTGGGGGGGCCGCTGCTTCAGCCCACCACGCCATCTCCAACTACCAGTCCTATGAGTACGGCGCTGGCCTCTTCCCCCAAACATCATTGGGGGATCACTACCAGCTTTCCCTGCAAGTCAAGGCCTAAAACACGATCGAGTACAGGTAGGAGTCTCCTGCAAAGCCTATCCACATCTGTGTGTGTCTTCCAACCTGAGTCAAGAATTCCTCCAAGCCTTGAGATGTAGACTGCTTGTGTAAAACCCTCTGCTGCATGTTCATTTATTTAGTGGCATCATTTTTTTGGGCTTCTACAATCAGAAAGTTGAAAATATATTAAAAGTTTTATTTTAAAGGGTTAGGTTATGATTAGATGAAGCTAGCATAGGATTCGGAGGTTGCTAAATAAATGACAACTTTTGAGTAATGATCTTTCAGGTCCTACATGCAACCAAATGAGTGCTAATGTGTTAAAGAGATGCATAAAAAATATATCCTATGGCTCAAGGTTCTAAATAATCATATAAAATATATAAGTAATATAACCTATGGATCAAGGTGCTAAAAATCATATAAAGATAAATATAATATTTCCTATGGGTCAAGGTGCTAAAAAATAATATTATCATAAAAGTAATATATTCCATGCGTCAAGGTGCTAAATAATCATATAAATATATATAAGTAATATAACCTTCCGGTCAAGGTGCTAAAAAATCATATAAATTTAAAAGTAATATATCCTATGGATCAAGGTGCCAAAAAAAAAAAACAAACAAAAGTAATATATCCTATGGGTCAAGGTGCTAAATAATCACATAAATATAGTATATAAGTAATATAACCTTCCGGCCAAGGTCCTAAATATAAAAGTAATACACCTATGGATCAAGGTGCTAAACAATCATATATATAAAAAAAACAATATATCCAATGGGTCAAGGTGCTAAATAATCACATAAATGCATTACATATAAGTAATATATCCTATGGGTGGGTCAAGGTGCTAAAAAAAAATCATAAAAGTAATATATCCAATGGGTTAAGGTGCTAAAAAACAATCATATAAAATATATAAGTAATATATCCAATGTCCAAGGGGTCAATGTGCTAAATAATCATAGAAGAAATATATACATAATATAACCTATGGGTCAAGGTGCTAAAATATTCATAGAAATATGTTATAATTAATATATCCAATGTGTCAAGGTGATAATTAAACATATTACACACATATATATATATCAATATGCTAATTATTATACTATTACAATATAATCTAGAAAATATAATGTATAGACTTGCACAAATGTTTGTCCCAGCAGACCTTTAGGAATCCATGTCATTTGAGGGGCGTGAAGCTGGGGGCAACCCCAGCATATAATATAACTCATGAATCAATGTGCTATTTATTATACTATTATAATATAATCTAGAAAATACATTATATAGACTTGTACTGATGTTTGTCCCAGCAGGCCTTTAGGAATCCATGCCATCTGAGGGGTGAAAAGGTGGGGAAGCCCAAGAAAATAATACATCATATGGGTCAAGGTGCTATTTAATATAGATATATAATATAAAATGTAATATATAGACTTGTCCAGATGTTTGTCCCAGCAGATCTTTAAGAATCCATGTCATTTAGGTGTTTAAATCTGGGGCAGCCCCAGAAATGTAATATAGCTTCTGGATCCCATATACTAATGATATTATTATTATTATTATAATACCATAAATATATATTATAATATTATTTAGACTTGTGCAGACGTCTGTTCCAGCAGACCTTAGGAATCCATGCCATCTGAAGGTTGTAAAGGTGGGGAAGCCCCAGAAAATAATACATCATATGGGTCAAGGTGCTATTTAATATAGATATATAATATAAAACATAATATATAGACTAGTCTACACGTTTGTCCCAGCAGATCTTTAGGAATCCATGTCATTTGAGGGGCGTAAATCTGGGGGCAACCCCAGCATATAATATATAAACTCATGGAATCAATGTGCTATTTATTATACTATTATAATATAATCTAGAAAATACATTATATAGACTTGTACTGAATATGTTTGTCCCAGCAGGGCCTTTAGGAATCCATGCCATCTGAGGGGTGAAAAAGGTGGGGAAGCCAAGAAAAATAATATTTCTTCATATGGGTCAAGGTGCTATTTAATATAGATATATAATATAAAATGTAATATATAGACTTGTCCAGATTTTTTGTCCCCAGCAGATCTTTAAGAATCCATGTCATTTGAGGTGTTTAAATCTGGGGCAGCCCCAGAAATGTATATATAGCTTCTGGATCCCATATACTAATTATTATTATTATTATAATACCATATATATAATATTATTTAGACTTGTGCAGACGTCTGTTCCAGCAGACCTTAGGAATCCATGCCATCTGAAGGTTGTAAAGGTGGGGAAGCCCCAGAAAATAATACATCATATGGGTCAAGGTGCTATTTAATATAGATATATAATATAAAACATAATATATAGACTATAGTCTACACGTTTTGTCCAGCAGATCTTTAGGAATCCATGTCATTTGAGGTGTTTAAATCTGGGGCAGCCCCAGAAATGTATATAAATTCTGGATCCCATATACTAATGATTATATTATTATTATTAATACCATATATAAAATATCATTTAGACTTGTACAGAGGTCTGTCCCAGCAGGGAAGACATGCCATCCAAGCCCTGCAGAGCTGTGTGTGAATAGGAGAGGAGGAATCCAGCAAAGTGCCAGTGTCAGGGCCTGTCCTGGGCTGAGATGTGTTTTCAGGGGGGTTTTCCAGGGTAACATTTGCTTTGCTTGTCTGAGCCGGGACTGTCTCTATTTAGTTGATACGTTTGAGTTAATCCAATTATTTTCAGACTGCTGCACGCGACAGTTTCATTGTTTATCCAGCGCCAAGAAGTTTAATAGGGTCCGGATGTGGTCAGGCTGACCAGAATAAGAGAGGATCTGCCTGCGCTGCACACAGGTCCGGGGACTGGGCTGTCAGCTGCCATCGCACATACAGCCAGGGGACTGTGCCAGGCTGGACAGACATGCCACATAGACAACCTGCCAACCTATGCATTCTGCCTCATCCTGATCAGCTACTGGGATATGTGGGACTACAGGTTTCAGCATACAGATCCTTACTAGTTACACAACTGCCGATTCCTAGAGGAAGGCTGCTGTCAACTGGCATTTTTTGTTTCATTTTTAGTGCTGCCTGATTTATAAGAACATGTAGATAAGCCCATCTGTCATGCTTAAAAGTTTAACAGCCAGAAGCAACACATCCGATTTTTGTTTTTTTGAATACATAATAATGATCCAGACAGAATGGAGCGATTGTATGAGTCTGTAATAAAAAGGTGGGGTGCTGTTCAGCCGTTAGATCTGTGAACTGTCACTGAGTCACCGCAGCCTGGTTGTAGCGAAGCTTCGATGCCTCCACTGCTGCCTGGAGATCTAGGTCAGCCTTGGTTCTCTCACCCACATGAGCTGTGCTGTATGTGACAAAACCCAAGCTCAGGTAAACAAAAAGTCTCAGCACTAGTCACCCATAACTAAAACCCCCACCCTTAAAAATAGTTTTAAAACCCCTATTTTTGATGTTTTATTCCTAAAAAGCCAGATGAGTGATAGGACACTAAAAGCAAAGCTTAGGTTGCTGTCGATGCTTGGTATACTGTTTGTGGGAGATCTATATAACTTACTACTGTGTCTGTGACATTTGTAAAGTGACAATGACTATCTTCTCTGGAAAAGCAGTTGTATGGTGGTGACTGTGCTGCTAGAGTACAGGAAACAGGCTTACCATGGGCTCAGTGTATTTTTCTAAAAGGCCTCCCACATCTTAGCACTGAACTGTCAGCTGTAGGATGAGGCCTGAGTCCTGTGCACCTCTGAGCTGCAATACATGATGATAAATACCTGATTGACATGAGATTATTTAAGCCCTTCCCACTCCCTTCTTCAACTAAATTCTTTGCTGCTGGGGCAAAAAAAAAAGAAAAAAAAAAAAAAAAGCGAGACTGAAAAAAGGCACCACAAGAAAGCATTGGGACGGGTTATAAATGACAGCTGATTTCCTAATAGCTGTCACAAGTCAGTCACTTTTAATGCTGTAAAATAAAGAGTTGTTGCATTATAGGATCCTATAGGCAGGAATGCACAATCAGTTGTGAAAGCTGTTATTTACTTAGTATGATTCAGTATTTCACCTTCTCTATTTATCCTTTGTAGGACTTTGTAAAGCGCAGCTTACATGAGCAGTTGTGCTCCATACAAACACTTAGTCCCTTCAATAGAATGACTGCTCTTCAAAGGCCAAGTGCTCCAGCTACAGTGACAAATATCAATATTTTGTCACACATTGCTTAGCAAGAATGTGCCTATTTTCAATGGCAAACAATAGAAGATATACTTAAGCCATTAAAGTAAACAGGACCTCTTATATTTACTACTGTTCAGAAACAAAACCTTTGAAATCAGCCTCTTCAAACCCACCTGGAAAGTGATGGTTAGAGTACTGTGAAGAGTAGGTTGAGGGGGAGGGGAGGGGGGGGGGTCAGGTGTTTAAGTAAACCACATCAGTATATGTTACAGAACCCTGCAAATGTTTGATGCTAAAAAAGTTACTAGGTGTTCAGCTGAGCATGAAAGCAATAAGGTCATGTGTCACCAACCTGTCCAACTGTTTGTATTTACAGAGCTATGGAATGTTGCTGGTTCTATATAAACAGAGCATACTTATCAGTTTTAAAAGCTACATTTTATTGTAACCTCTACCAATGTGTTTCCCAGGTACTGAGTAGTAATATTTATATCAAGATGTATCCTTAAATGATACATTTAGTATAGATCATGGACCTAACTTTACTAACTGTCACTAACCTTGATGATTTAAGACACAACAGGGACTCTACTCTAAAGGAAAACAACCTCTTATAATATAAAGTTACAAAAGTTATGTATAATACCATTAAATGGCCAGTACACTCAACGAGACTTTCAATTGTACCTTATAAAACACAGTAAAGTAAAAAGATTAAGAAATTAAAAAAACAAAATAATATATATATATATATATATATATATATATATATATATATAAAAAAGGGATTGTTTATGAACACTGTATGC